GGAATCTCACAGCACCCCTCCCCTGTGAGCTTCAGGGAGACCCCTTCCACCGCTCTGCAATTGGGCTTGTGACACTTGCAGAGTGGCAGAAGGTTTGCAGGGCCAAAATGTGGCTGGGAGCAGGCTGTCACTGCTAGAAACAGGTTCTGGGAGCACCTAGATTGTCCTGACTATGGACATATATGGAGTGACTGCCTCTTATATTGCATGGGCTAGATTTAAACTGCATTGCCCAGTGGGAATCAGACAAAGATTTACATTTCAGCCAAGAAGATTCAGGTCAGAGGTTGCAGCATCTTTTTATTTAAAGGGAACATGGGAATAAATATGTGAAGGTTTGGGTTTTTTAAAAAAGTACAGAATAGAAAAAAAAAAATCAATGACAGGACAATCTAGATTTAAGAGATGTTTAGAACCTAATCCCTCCTGATGAAAGGGACAAAGCATCTGTTGCTATGCAGTGAATAGTTTTGAAGTGTATTTTGATCAAATGGAACCAGGCACATTTCTTCGTGAGGATCCCCTTGACTGTTTGCTGTGTGGGTAAATCATCAGCAAGAGGCCTCTCGCCAAACAAAGCACTTAAACCACACAGCCAACAGGACAGCAAGTAACTTTCAAAGTCCCAAGTGATGGTGTTCCTAGATTCTGTGGAAAGGCCTTTGGTTCATTTTAATACATTTGGTTACCCTATGAGACGGTGAACAATTTCAGCTCAACCCCAAATGCTGCAAAGGGACATCAGGTTTTTCTCACAGGAAGTTTGTCCTGACCTTCCCTTCTATTGCACTTCTTTTATGGTCTAAAACAAAATGGGGAACCAGGACCACTGATTAGAGCCCCAGACAACACCCTGTAGCCCACATTTTTGCCAGATACCAGGTAGACAGTGGGGTTATATAACACAAGGGTGTCAGAGAAGAAGCTCAAGAATGCCCCCCTTCTGACATTAGCTGAAATCTACACCATCTTTAGAGCATTTTCCAGGACAGGTTGAGTAAGAACATGTACAGTAATTAAAATAATCTTGAAAGATATATAATGCACAAATGTCATCATATTAGTCGTATTAATTAGTATCAACCTGATTTTATATTAGGGTTTTCTCTGATAATACCTTTAATTAGATGGGGCTAGATTAATTAGATGGGGCTAGAATTAGTTCTTAGCAACTGGATTAATCAGCTGCAATAGGCCACAAGAGAACAGTAGTTTTTAAGTTTGTTTTTTTTTTTAACTGAGGTATTCTTAAAAGGAATGCAGAAAGACTGGTGGGCTTACCAGAAACAAAGCTACAGCACTCCCCAAGATGAAGCCTGCGATCACGTCCGAACAGTGGTTTCGATACTCAGAAACTCGATTTAGCCCAGTAAGGAATGCAGCACACAAGGTACCCAGACACAGCACAGGTTTGGCTAGCCTGCTACTCTTTGTTTTAATTGTGCTTGTGATGTACATCTGAAACAAAGGGCAAGCCAAAAATGAAAAGGGGCTCTGCCAGAAATGCATCTTTTTCCACCCAGACAAATCGTAAATCAGCAAGAATGTGACAAAACCCATGATTCATTGAAAAAAAAAAAAAGGGAAATCGAAGAAGAGGTTTAAGGTAGTTCAGAGAACACTGTTAAGAGAACAAAACAGATACTGTTAAATGATGTTTCAGGATGTCAAATACCCTGTCAACTGCCTTTACATACTGGACATTTTCTGAGCTGGTATGTACACGCCCAGTTCCTAACTTGTGCAAGTACTTGTCCATATGCTAGGAAACAGGCACTCTGAATGTACATAACTAAATGTTTGCAAAGGGAGTCAATTTATGTTTATACTGCTGTAGAAACTGTAAAGTGCACATGATGGAGTGCCTAGAATCCATATGAACTAGCTGTTCCAATTTCCTAAGTGGTGTTAAGTTTAAGAAACAGAGAACATTAAGAGAAACCATTCCAGACTTTCTCTGCAAAATGAAATGAAACACAGAATATAAGAAATTTCTTTCAAAACAAAGTTGATTCTGAAAAGTTGATTCCAGAGCATGAAATTTCACTGTGCTCTGAATATTTTTTAATGAACCCCACATATTTTTGGCAGTTTGTATTTTATTTTAAATGCATTTTGACAGAGAGAGTAAAACCACATGAGTTACAATTCGCAGCCAGTCATTAATTCTAGAACCACAAAATGACAAAGATCAAGCAAACCAAGCCTGATGGTAAAACAATTCAATAAAATAATTTTCAGCAAGAAAGTATGGATGCCTGCATGATTTCCAAAGCTTTGATAAGTAAAGCAAATATGTCAAACACATTTGCCAGAAATGTCTCCAGAATCAGGAAGATACATTTGAAAAATACATTTGATTCTTATTACAAATCAGCTGGTAAATTAACCTAATTCACATAGGATCACATGGATCCAATCCAATGAAAGTACAAACACCTGTTATACTGGGACAAACCATGGAAGTGTCTCTTATAGTGTTTAACATTAAAAGATGTCATTTTATTTGTAAAGAAAAAAATATGTTCTCCTATTGTAAAAATTGTATAATAATCAAAGCTGAATATATTTCCATTCTTCACCCTTTTTCAGTTGTCAGAAACAGAAATACAGTTCTGTTTGTTAGTCTTCTGGACAAAAGACTCTATAGAAGATACTTACTGTTTTAATCGCTTCTGCAATAACACCACAACCAGGATCTTTGTGCTGTCTGCAGGACTCAAATCTCATCTGTTTCTAGGATGACTTTGTTTCTGGAGAATGACACTGCTGCGTGCTTTGCCATGGGCAGCACTGAATTCAGAGTGTGACTCTGCAGGACTGTGGAAACCCAAGAGTTGTTCTCCTTTGTTGCTGCTGCAGCAGCTGACACCATGCTGGCTCACACTATCAGCCTCTGGCCAAGACTACAGTGGCTTGGCTGGGGCAAAGCTGCCTTGGGATTTTCCTGTGCCTATGCTGAAAGGAAACTTGTGGAGGCTTGGCTTGGTGATTCCAACTGCAACTACCAGCATATCTTGCTTTGCACTCCATGGTCTATTTGGCAACCATGGGCAATTACTTTACTGTATTTTAATGCCTGTCCCTTTCTTCATAAGCCAGGTATACAGAGGTCATTATGGTCTGGCACATAGTTTTGGGATCAGAACAGAAATCATACCTGTTCTCAAGGTCACTCTGTTAATTGCCTTTCATATATTCTCTTATTCTGTTGTATTGTGCGTATTTTTTTACTCTAACTTTCTACCTGTCCATATTTCTTTTCCCTTCTCCCTGGCTGGGCCATCAAATATCCCTACAGTTGGTCTCCCCTCACTGGCTGGTGTTAAAAATGTTAGTCCTAAACCAATTACAATACATAACTCTAGAAGATGGGAAGGATGTAGCAACCACCTCTTAGAAGAGAAGGGGATAAGCCAGAGAAACCGATGAGAGGAAGGCAAATCTGTCTGCCTCTGGACCTGTACCTGTGCAAAATGATACTTTCAGCTGCCAAGAATCTGCAGTACCTGACTTCTTACAGCTGAATTTGCCAGATCTCTGCCTGGGGAAGTGAAGTCTTCTGCCTTAAATATGTTGCTGAGCACACCATTTGAAGGTGAATTCGATTTATGAATTGGACATTATGGTGTGTAATAGCACTGGGAAAGGGACTAAGCTACTTGAGAAGTTCTTGCTTGCTTTGTTTTTCAAACCCAATACCTGACTGCAGCACATGCCTTGAAACGACAGCTAGCAAGCGAGCACTAGGTGGCAATCTTGCCCCAGTCTTTGCTGGTAGGTTGAGCTGACTATCACAGAAACTCACGTTAAGCTGCTTCTTTGGAAACAATAGAAAGAAACATCATTGCCGCTGTGTGAATAATTACCACCCACCCTTTCACCCTATGCATTTCTTTTAGCAGAAGCCAATTCAAACGAGCAATAGGGTGCTGGATTGCTTTCCTGTTCCCCACCAAAGCACTACTGCAGTTTACAGCATCCAAAGGAAAAACATAACCTCCTGAAAATAAGAATGCAGTCCTGCTGCAACAGCTGCAAAGCTACAGAGAACAACTCACACATGCATGTTTTCTTACAGGTATGACACGAAGCTAGATCTTTGTGTTACCCACAAGGGAGAGTTCTTATTACAAACGGG